TCATTCATTCATTTAATCGCTTAAGGCCTCTTTTATTCCCCTTCATTATTTGCCGCATTTCGTACACTTTTCCTAATCCCTTTTAGGCTCTCCTTCCTTCCCTCCTTCTTTCCCTCTTTCCGATTCGCCTTTATCCCTACTTTCGACATTGACTTGGTGCTAGCGAGGCATGCCAACTGTGCGCTGTCATCGCGTGAACCGTGGAGGCTACTATGCCTACCGTGGCTTGCATTACCAAGCAATCGACTTACAAACCCAATCTATGTGCAAAGCACATCCACCCATTTACACACGCACACATCCACACACTTCCTTGATTTGCTTCCCAATTTCCACCCACCTTCTTACTTTCCACAACCTATCACCATCCAAGTGCCACACATCTGCTTGCAACAAGTGCCCTTTCGCATGCAGGGTCATGCGCATACCGGGCAAGAAGGCAGACAAACCGAGGCGCATTCTCCATGCACCATGCTCCTCACGCCTAAAATATCCTTCTCTTCGAAGTTGGTCGGTTTGGAACGAGAGTTGACTACCAATGAATGGTGGGAATGCAAGGTGAGGTGAGGCATCTTCTTGAGCAGATGCGGTGACGATTATTCGCATGCCAATGCCTGCTTTTCAAACCACTTCCAATTCACCCTACATAAGTATGTCAACATCCTCAACTCCTCCCAACCAGACGGAGTATCTGCCACCTTCAAACTGCCCTTCCAGCATTCCTCTATTTGGTAAGTCGTCGAGAGCCCAAAGCATGCTGTCAATGATGGGCAAACGTGGCGCACGTATGAAAGGACCCCTTGAGGGAGGAGTATCTCAAATGCATGGAGACGAGTGCCTGGATTGTGTAGGTGGCTCATTTGCATCACATTGTGATGAGGGGCTGACACTCGGCTGACACAGGGGAGAGTAGTGAAATCTTGTGCATCAGGGGGTTGGTGGGTGATTGTGGCCTCCAGGAGGAGGCAAGAGTCAAGACAATGAGACTTGTCACATGTCTACCGCCCGAGCCAGACAGACGCCTGCCTTTGATGAGGGTCACAGTGTGTTGCAACATACTTCCAAGTAAAGCCGTTTCTACAAAGTCTTACCAACTAGGCCTAAAACAATCACTAGTGCATTGACTGGTTCACCAATAGAGAATTTCCTCGTGATGCAGTAGAATAAGTGATTCAGGAATGTGAAGCCAAAGTGGAAAATACGAAAATGGGAATTAATTTGATAGGATATTCCCAAAGCCGGCTTAGCGAATGCGGAAGCAGATGGTTAGAGGTCGTCCTCATCAACAAACTGGCAAAAAACTCTTCCTGATCGAGGCTTGTGTTAAACGAGATCTCCTTGGTTCAGCAGAATTGCAGCATAATGGGAAATGTATAGCACACCCTTGCACCACCCATTAACGTGTCTCAACCACACGCAACAAAATCACCACAGAGCTTTTGTCTCTACCGTGATAACCACATTGACACATGAAACAGTGGTGGTTTTCACCCTGCTCACACCACAAAGCCTTGCATCATGCCACTTCGTTAGTAGAAGCTCATTAACACCACATCGTTTCTAGCTGCTGTGTCTCGGAATGCGAGAATTAGGAGGAGAAATAAGAGCTCCATTAACGGACAGTGGTAGAAAGTCGTGAGGGTGGTTGATATTAGCAGAGCAGAGGCCCATCAATAAAACACTCATTTGCCCCTCCGCGTTCGATTGCATCAAGACAGTCTCAATTCCACCCGACACACTGCTCCCATTGCAAATGATGTTGCAACAGCACAACAACACGCTTCCAATCATCCACTTACCTACAAATACACACTTCCCTCTTTCGTGCAGTCACAGTTCACTCTCAACCACCTCCTCCTCCCATCACCAACTAACGCGATGAGGCACTGATGGCATTTTATTGAGTCTGCAGTTCAACCAATCTCTTCCCACCCACACAGACGTGTACATGGAGGAGAATTTACTGCGGAACATCTCCTCTCTAACGAAAAGCATTCCACCAGCAGTCGCAGCAGAATTAGTGGACCACTACGGACATCAGCATCGTGCTCTGGAGTGCACAAAACAACCTGTCACCTACTGCACACTGGTTGACACGTCCTCTCAACAACTTCTTCTTCTTCTTCACCTCATGCATTTGCTCTTACTTCACGTTAATTAACTGGTTGGTGTGATGCTTCTCTTTGCAAGTGCACTTCAATTGTGAATTAAGACAAGTGGAGGAGGCGGTTCGGTGCGGAAATTGAGGCGAGAAGACGGCAATAGGGGCAGCAGCAGTGAGGTAGACGGCTAGATAGGAGGTGCACGCGGACACGATTCTGCTTATTCGTCCACCAGATCTCCTTGATGTCTTGGCAGCATTACAGTCGTTTGCAGATGACAGCTTTGACATTGCTCTCTCGCCAATCACGTGATTCGGATGACTATCATACGAGAAAACATGCATCTGGTGAGTCAATCACTTTGAGCCAACGCATATGCAGACACCGACAGCACCCTCCTCCTCCTCCTCCTTCTTCTTCTTCTTCTTCATCTTTCATGTCGCATCTCTCTACCAATGCATTCATACATTTGAATGACATGCGGCTGCCCAACTCGTGCTTGAAGTTGAAGTGAGTGCTAGCCGGGGTCGAGAAGACTTTGGTTCTTGGCATGTGAAATGGCTGACTGTGCTGCGAGTAGAGCCAGACGACTGTTTGCACCACAAGGACTCGCCTTCTCCCATTTCCTGTGACAATGTCACATTCGTCGTATAGATCAGTTGATTTAGTACCGCACAGTGTGACAACTACTTGACGCGTCTCAGCGACTGTTAACCCAACCAAAATGAAGTCAGTGCATGCAGGCAAACCAGCATTTAATTTTAAAATACTCAAAGTAGTTAGGAAATGTAAGGAGAGATTGCGCTCTGAAGTTCACTTATTTAAATGGGGAAAATGTGTGGAAGAAGGAGCGGTGTGTAGTGAAGAGAATGGCTTCCGAATGGAAATTTGGAGAATTGCCACTGGTGATTAACAAAGCAAATGG